GATTTGTCCAGGGCCCCCGGGGGCCGGTACTCGCCGCTGTACGCCACGGGCGGGTGCTCCAGCTGCACAAAACTGGAGTTTTCATTCACGTTTTTCCTGGGGGGAGAGAGACAGCACAGACACCTCTGTCACTGACAACCCTCACAGTGTAGGGGGGAGATTCTCTGTCACTGGGTGACCCCCACAGCAGGGGGGGGGCAATGCCCTGTCGCTGGGTGACCTCAACCCCCCCTTATGACATTACATATCTCATCCCTCAATTAACAATCTGCATCGTGTAACTGCATCTGCATTAACGACATAATTTAATAATGATCTTACTAATCAAAAGGTAGCAGTTTGCTCCTGATGTATCAGTAACTGAGAGTTGCTTTATCAATCATTAATTACCCACCAACCATCTTTGATTAGGATCAATTAATGGCTAATGCCCCGGACTGGTCAATAGGTGACTGCTAATTACCAAACACGGATTAACATTGGTGCTTCATTAATTATGCCGTTAGTCAGTCATTAGAAATGCCCTTTAACCAACGATTGTGGGTTACCGATCTGGATATAAATGTTTATCCTTCTCCTCCAAAAATGCTCCTTAGTTTTAAGAGAAGAACTGTCACGTGTGTTAATTGTTATTCTGCCTTTATTTAGCGGTACAAAAAATGGCATCCTTCCCCTGCCAAAATCGCCCTTTCTGTTTAAAATAAATGACGAAAACGTGTTTAAAACGATTGTGGCGAATGACACTTATTCCGGTGGGTGGCCATTTGCCGGCCGCCCCGGTAAGAGCGCCCCTCGTTTGAAAACCCGACTGGATCGGAAGATCCGCCTGGTGATGGTCCAGGAAGGATTTCAATCGATCGACACTCAGAACAGCTGCTCTCCCTTTAAGGGCAGTTCTGCCTCATACTGGCAAGAGGACGGTCTGCGATCCCGTCTGGCTCCAGCCTGGATTCGGGCCCCAGCGTCACCCCGCTCCCGGGACGCCCCGTTCGTTAGTACAGCTGAGCCCCGGGGGGCTCCTCACTTACTTTTTCCGCGTCTGACTCACGTAACACACGGCGGCGATGAGAATCGCAAAGGCCACCACGGCGCCCACCGGCCCCACCTTCGCCCACATCAGATTGTCTGAAAGCAGCATGCGGGCTGGGGTTAGTCCTGGCCTCTC